GGAAGGCTATGCTGGGAAGAGGAGGTAAGGGGATTCACTGACCACGGCCTTCTCCCTTCACACCTTCTATCTCCTTCCAAGTCCCCCCACCCCCATGGGGCTTTTCGCTGGAACTGCTTCCTGCTGAAATGGAATGCAGAGTTAATTGTTAAACCTAATGGCTGGTAAGTGTTTCACCCTGCTGGGCTGAGTGCTAGCTTCGCTCCCCTGGGGAGGGGTGGAGCCACCCAGGTTTTTCTGGCCTGTACCTGCCACCTTTTCCCTACGCTGGAATCTGCCTCCAGAACCTGCTCCTCCCCTCCTTGTAGCGGGAGGGCTGCCTCTTGGAGCCTTTCCCTGGACTCCAGCTGAGGTGACCCTGGGAGGTGAGTACTGGCTCTGGCCCTAGTCCAAAAGGCTCTGGGTGAGTGTTCTTGGAGGAGGTGCGGGGAATGGCATGGCGCCTAACCCCCGGGACCCACCCAGAGGGCAGACTGCCAGGGACCTTGCTGGCTCTGCCTCCAGCCTGGTAGGGGTGGGGTTTGGGGGATGGCGTCACAGTGGCCTAAGCCCTGTTCACAGGACCCCCATCCAGTGCAGGCCACGCCACGCCTTCCTCCTGCTCGCCTTCTGTTTTACCCTCTTGATCGGGTATTTGGTGCTAGGTTATTCTCTGCTACTAGCCTGGGGGAGATGGGGTGGCTGAGAACAGCGGCAAAGGCTTATTTCTTCTTTGAGAAGGCTGAGCCCCAGGTGGGGCTCCTGTCAAGCGTTTGGGACAGAATTCAGGCTTCCAAGTCAGACAGGCCTGGGGTCAAAGCTGGGTGACCTTGGGCAGGTGGCCCACCTCTGAGTCAAAGTGACAATCTCTGAACAATGGTTACTCTGATCCCTTTGTTACCATCACTGTGAACATAATAGGTCCCAGATGTAGATATTAATATTAGGCGAGTATTTGGGCTGTAGATAGATATTAATATTAGGCTCAGTAGAGGTTTGTTGAATGAGTAAGTTACCATTCTATTCAGATTCAGCTTTACCTTCCCAGGCCTAGCTCTGGCTTATGGACTTGGAGGCCACCACCCCACCTTCTAGGACTCAACTGTAGAGCTATGCTGCCAACCACAGGTGGCTATTAAGCATTGAAAGGTGGCTCATGCCACAGAGGAACTGAAGTTTTAATTGTATTTGATTTGATTAAGGCTTTAAAAAAATCTCCATTCAGTTATTGAAAAAGTTCTACATATGTTTGACAACTCAGTGTTAAGAATATACTTTTTCAATTGTAAAGGCTAAGAGAATCTAAATATCTGATGAAAATTTAGTGTCAGAATTGAGATGTGCTGGAAATTCTACCACATGTGTGGTCTCTGACTCTCATGTATGTGGGGTTCCCATACATATGTGTATATTAAATTTGGTTATTTTCTCTTGCTAAAAAAAATTGAGATGTGCTCTAAATGTAAGTGACATAACAGATTTAGAAGACTCAGTATGAAAAAAGTAATATAAAATATCTCAATAATACTTTTATATTGATTTCATGTTGAAATTTATATATTGGGTTAAATAAGTATGCTATTAAAATTAATTTCAGCCCTAGCTGGTTTGGCTCAGTGGATAGAGCATTGGCCTGCTGACTGTAAGGTTCCGGGTTCAATTCCGGTCAAGGACACATGCCTGGGTTGTGGGCTCGATCCCCAGTAGGCGGTGTGCAGGAGGCAGCCAGTCAATGTTCTCTCTCATCACTGATGTTTTTCTCTCCCTCTCCCTTCCTCTCTGAAATCAATAAAAATATATTAAAAAATAAATACATAAAATAAAATAAATTTCACCTAATCCTTTGTACTTTTTAAAATGTGGCTACTGGAAAATTTTAAATTACATATGTGTCTAACACTACATTTCTATTGGACAATGCTATTTTAATGAGAGAGTTGTGTTGGACACATTTAAATAATAATACAGTAACTATAATGACTAGTTATTAGGGGAGGCTTGGGCGGGGGGACACAGATCACATATTCCCCACTCACTGCCCCTATAGATGTTGCCCTGGAAACCCCATAGCCCCAAGGATAAGATGAAGACTTCTTATCCTATGACTGAGTGGCCATACTACTCACTTGCTGTGTGTGACCATGGACAAGTCATTTTACTTTGCTGAACCTTAGTCTATCATCTGTAAATCTAGACTAATTGTGGGATTTACCTTGTTGATTGAGGTGATTACTTGAGATATAGTCCAAGTGCAGCACTTAGCCCAATGCCTAGCTGTGTGAGTAGTCAGGTATTAGCTGTGGTGGCGGTTGCTATTACTGTTAGTTGGGTGGGTGGGGCTGGGTGGGGGTGGATGGTTGCTTGAATTTGTCAGCTTGGATTCTCTTGTTTTATTTGTCTGAAGGGGACACAGACAAGAGGGAAAGGAGTAGAAGTTAAAAGAGCTTGAGGGATATTTGGGACGAGGATTTCTTGTCCTTGAGGTAGCTCCTTGGATCTTCCCATAGTACTATAAGTGATCAGGCAAAGATATGTACCCATTTTACAGATGAGGAGGCTGAGACCTGTTGAGGGGAAGTGACCTGGCTATACAGCCAGAACCTGCATGCAGACTTCCCAACCCTATTGTGGCAACATTGGAACCAACGTTAAGAGGCCACCTTTTGGGGCTGTAGGATCAGGGCCTGATCAGGAGTCAGGAACTTGTGAGGAATGGTTATTATTGGTCTCCTATAACTGGAAGGGATCTTGACACCTTTCAGTACAACCGTCTTGTTCTTGAGTTGAAGAAACAGAGAACTCCGTGTGTGTGTGTGTGTGTGTGTGTGTGTGTGTGTGTGTGTGTGTTCTGCCTAGCATCACAGAGCAAGTTGATGGCCAAGCTGGAACTGTTTCTGTTTGTTTAGATTCAGTCCTCAGCTCAGCCGTGGGAGGAGGGATGGCCCTGCTTGTCAGCCCCCCCTCTCCTGCCCAGTCCCTAGGGAGGGCTTCTGAGAAAGAGGCTTTTGTTTCACCAACTCCTTCTGGTTTCCTCTCAAGGTATCCTCCTCTACCCCCACCCACCCTCCAGTCTGCCCAGATTTGTGTTTGTCCCTGTTCCAGGTTTAAAGGGCCCTGAAACCCGAAATCTCCACACACATCTGCTTTCTGGATGCACAGGGGGAGATCATGGGCTTTTTCATCAAGGAGGCCAGGGTTTATAATCCTCTTCTGTGGAATTCTCTCTGTGGCCTTGGTCAAGTCACTTGTAATTTTTTAGTCTCAACTTCCTCATCTGAAAAGCAGGAACCATACTGTACATACAACCTAGTGGTTAAGAACCTGGGCTCTAGCCCTAACTGGTTTGGCTCAGTGGATAGAGCATCGGCCTGCGGACTCAAGGGTCCCAGGTTCGATTCCGGTCAAGGGCATGTAACGTGGTTGTGGGCATATCCCCAGTAGGGGGTGTGCAGGAGGCAGCTGATCCATGTTTCTCATTGATGTTTCTGACTCTCTATCCCTCTCCCTTCCTTTCTGTAAAAAAATCAATAAAATATATTAAAAAAAAAAAAAAGAACCTGGGCTCTAGGTCTCAACCCATACCGATTTGCTGTGCCTGTCTTCAGTGCATCACTTCACCTTTCTGGGTCTGTGTTCACAGCTGTGTGGGGCACAGCTACCTCCTGGATTGTGGATAAGGTGCTGTGCTGAGCTCTCCACAGTATCATCTCATTTAATCCTCTCATTAACCCTGGAAGCCAACTCTATTACTCCTATTTTCCAAAAGAAGGAAGCTAACTCTCAGAGACTTGAAGTGACTTGCTCCAGGCCACATAGCTAGAGAGTACTGGGGCCAGGATTCAAACCAGGTCTGTGGGACTACAGAGTCCAACCTTATAACCACTGTGCCGCACTGCCTCCCAGGATTAGCCTGGGTGCTAGGAAACAGTGGATGAGAAAGCAGGTTGCCGGGTGACTGATGCTACAGCGGGCCTAGCAGTGTCCCGAGGCCTATGCCAGCCTTCAGAACTGGGGCAGGAAGAAGACTCTCAGGCACACAACTTCTGCTCCTGCTGTTACCGCCTCAGCCCAAGTGACCTTCCTATTCACCTTGTAGGTTAACAGTTGTTTTGCATGGAAAATAATACAGAACTTAATAAATAATAATAAAGGAATAAACTCTGTGTTTTGTGCACTCAGAACTGTGAAACTACCTTTGCCCCACAGTTCCAGCTTGGCCATCAACTGTATGTGAAGTGGAACCATCTCTTCTTAGTGTGTGAGTCCAGGAGGCCTGAGGCTTCTCTCTCCAGCAACCCGCCTCACTGTGTAACAGGCTGGGCCTGTAGTTGGGGCTTAAAGATGATCGAGAAGGGGCTTAAATACTTTGTGAGCAAGTTATACCAGAACAGAATATTAATGCTAAAAAGACCTTACGGGACCACTGGGTCCAACCTTATTTGTTTTTATAGGTGCGGAGCCTGAGGCAAGGATAGGCCAGGGTGAGAGGGCAATGGGTGTGTTCTTCCCTGGGTGCCAGAGATCATGGGACTGACATGGAAGGAAGTGCCTGAGGAGTAGGCAGGCCTCTGCTTGCCCTCATCCCCCAGATCCAGTCCATCCCACGGTCTGTGGATACCACCACTTTTTTAGCTCTACGCAGCCATCCAGTCTGGGTCCTTGTCACATGCCCCCCGGACAGCCACAACGACTTCCTGACTCATACACCTAAAGCTACTCGTCCCCATTTCCAATCCATTCTCTACATTACAAACCACTCCCCAGTGCTCTTGGAATCAAGACTGAACTCTTTACCTTGGCCTCCCAGCCCGTGAAGCCTGGCCCCTGCTGGCCACGCCAACATCATATTTGTTACTTTCCCTTTTGCTCTCTGCGCATAGTCACAGGGACCTTTCTGCTTAACAGGTTCAGCAACTTCCCCCAGGTTCCTCAGAGAGTCAAATGCCAGCCTCTCAATTTCCAGCTCCATGCTGGGTCCATGATCTCAGTTCAGAGGAGCTAACACCGTTTCCTCCTTCCAGGTGCCTGACTGACGTCCTTCCCCCAGGGAGCTGGTGTGAACAGAGGAGAGGACTGGTGAGTGTTACCCTGGCACAGCCGGTCTCTTCTTCTTCTGCTCTGGTTGGTCTTCCAGGTCCTCAGGCTCTCTGTTTTGATATATTTTACTGCTGTGGAGGCATGAGGATTCGTATAGGCCACACATTTCTGGTGGGTTTGAAAAAGGGGGGCAGTGCTGCAGGTCCTCTCTGGTTTTGGCTGATTTGTGGTAGGGGCTAAGATGCTTATTCATTAAGCCACTCCGTGGTAGACAGCATGCTTTGCCTATATGGCTTTATCCGTGCCACCATGGCTGGGGGTGTGGCCTTGGACCTGGGAGCTGTGTTAGCTGACCCTGGAGCCCTTGTTTTCCTTTGCTTAACTACTTTTAGGTTGTAGAGTGGATTCAGGAGAGGGTATTTTCATTCTGGTTTTGCCACTGATGACTAAGCGACCTTAGGCAGCTACCTTTCCTTCTGTTGGCCTCAGGGATATATATATATATATTACACACACACACACACACACACACACACACACACACACACACACATTGTGTGTATGTGTAGGAGGGGTTGGGGCACAGGTGGGGTCAGAGTAAATGAGTTGTTTTCAAACTTTCCAGCAGGGAAATTTCCTTTTCAAATGAACTTGAAAGACTTGCAATGTACAAATCAGCTAAAGGGGTTTCAGCAGTGGTTGAAGTTAAGGCAGGGCTGGGGACTCCAACTAGCTAATTCCTCAGCCCCCAGCAGCCCCTAGACATGGAACGATCCTTGGCTATGTGCCGGACAGTTTGCAAACCACTGGCCCATGACATGTCAAAGCTTCTGACTCCATGGTTCTGTGATTCTGGCAGGTGAGGGAGTGGAAAGGGAGTCCAACCAATGAAGTTACCCTGATGGGGAAATTGCGAAGTAATATGCAAATGTCATTGTGGAGTTATTTGTAAGGCACAACTGCCAGGGCTGTGATGTTGTCATGCTGGAATCCTCTGGTTTTTATTTTTGATTAGATGTGAGGCATCTCTGTACGCCTAGGGGATCTCTCTCTCTCTCTCTCTCTCTCTCTCTGTGTGTGTGTGTGTGTGTGTGGTCTAAGGAGCAGGGCTATGAGGGATGGGTGGGGCTGAGCCAGGTCAGGGCAGGTAGAATAAATGCCAAACAGAGCTAGGAGCATGTTACTCCTGGGGGTGGTGGGGGTAGGGGATGGTGTTAGCTCCAGTTAAAAGGAGTGATTTGGCTCCTTCCTGCCAGTACATGGGCCCCACGGAGATCTCTGGGCAGGAAGCACTAGGAACAAGGAATCCTCTGTCCACAGCCACAGCACAGCCAGGACAGAGGAGGTGGATTAGGAGTTCCTAGGAGGGGGCCTGCTGGTCTCTCCCTGACATTTGAGCAGATGGGTGGGGAGAGGGGAACTAAGTGTATGTGTTGGGGGTGGGGGTGGGGGTGGTGATAAGGGGAGGTAGAGGTTGGTTCATACATTTATTCTACAAGTTCCTTGAGCTTCTGGAAGCCCTCCAAGAAGCCAGGCAGCTCTGTAGGGGTCAGAGCCGAGAAAGATGAGACTCTAGGTATTAATCACCATCAGTTTACTGGAGGAGACAGGAAATGTGAGAAACGATAGATTTGCATAGGCCTCTGACCTGCAAGTCCAGAGGCCCACATTCCAGTCCTTGCTCTGACACTGACTAGCTCTGTGGTTTGGCCTCATCACTTCCACTTTCTGGGTCTCAGTTTCCTCTTCTGTAGAATGGGGATGGACACATCAGCCTTGGCTACTTCTTTTAAAAATATATATTTTTTTATTGATTTCAGAGAGGAAGGGAGAGAGAGGGGGAGAGAGATAGAAACATCAATAATGAGAGAGAATCATTGATCAGCTGCCTCCTGCACGCCCCCTACTGGAGATAGAGCCTGCAACCCGGGCATGTGCCCTTGACCAGAATTGAACCCAGAACCCTTCAGTGCGCAGGCCAATGCTCTATCCACTGAGCCAGATTGGCTAGGGAAGCCTTGGCTACTTAATGCTCTTCTGAGTATCCATCAGAATAGGGTATTTCAAATGTTTAGGGGCAGCAGAATCCCTATAGGAAACATTTATAACAGAATTGCTATGGTTGAATTGGCAGCAGTTTACTCAGAATATCACTGCTCTCTTTACTGGACCAAAGACAGTCCCAGAAGCTGTCCCAATAGCCATCAACATTGGCCAATGGCAAGAAGCTTAGACACCAGCTTCTGTCTTCTAGCTCTGCTCTGCCACTCATTAGCTGTGTGACCTTGGAAAAGTCACTTACCTTCTCTGAGCCTCAATTAACCCACCGCAAGATGGGGATAATGATACCCTCCCTGCCTTACCTCTCAGAATTGTGGGTAAAATCTAATGATATAAAGAGTAGAAAAGTCCTTTGTAGGAAAAATGCAAGGGATTTAGATTCTAGTCCAGGTGTTAGCCAGGTGATAAGGCCCATGGGAATGAAGAATCTCCTAAGGCAGTGGTTCTCAACCTTCCTAATGCTGCGACCCTTTAATACAGTTCCTCATGTTGTGGTGACACCCAACCATAAAGTTATTTTTGTTGCTACTTCATAACTGTAATTTTGCTACTGTTATGAATCGTAATGTAAATATCTGATATGCAGGATGTATTTTCATTGTTACAAATTGAACATAATTAAAGCATAGTGATTAATCACAAAAACAATATGTAATTATATATGTGTTTTCCAATGGTCTTAGGCGACCCCTGTGAAAGGGTCGTTTGACCCCCAAAGGGGTCGCGACCCTCAGGTTGAGAACCACTGTCCTAAGGAAAGAATTCCCCTACTCTTCTCCACCTCTTTACTCACTATAAAAATGCTGGAATCTCTCCAATCCAGCCCCAACCTACTGCTCTTGCTAATCTTAGCTGATGAACAGGCTGGCCTTTTTCTTCCAACAAAGTGGATGTGATTAGCCATTTGTTGGGGAGAATCCCTTTGTGGGACATTGGAGGCATATGTTTCAGCCTGCTAACTGGGGAGAAGATGGGGAAACTGAGGCCATGGTCAATACAGTTGTTGCATTCAGGGCAGCTAGAGAGGCAAGGCTGGGAAAAGGCTTGGGCTTGGCCTGTGCTGATATGGTGAGCCTCTTCCCCAGAAAAATCTACAACTTTGTTTCACTAAGTGGAACACAGTGTCCACTGAGTGTTTACATTTTGCTCAACTTCTGCCCCGGAGAAATTCTTCCTAGGGGCACCGTGGGCTTTCCCAGAAGAGTGGCATCTGGGCCAAACCAGGGAGGAGCTCTGAGTTCCTAAGGGGCAATGGGGGCTCCAGCTCAGCACTAGCTAATAACAACTGGAATTCTGAAATTTGATAGTGGCGATGGTTGCACAACTCTGTGAATAGTGTTGGCATGTTCTTTACCTCCAGATGTCCCTGGGGTTGGAGGCAGCAGGGAGCAAAGGCGCCGAGATGGGCCTCCTGGGCCTTATGTGGGCTGTGGAAGTGGTGTTGGCTTCTAGAACTCATTGCTGACCAAGGCTAGTTTCCCCACTTGGTACCTGGGGAAACTAAGTCTCAGACTAGGAAAGAAATCGGCGTCAGTTGCCAGCCCTAAATGCAAAGGGAAGCTAGCAGTGGAGTGGGGGCAGCATTATAAAACTAGAACAGCAAACATGGCCTTCTTCTCATGTGTGTCTCACATAAGTCTCAGGAAAGGTCTGAATGAATGACCTGGCCAGGTCCCTTTCCCTCTCTGGGCCTCAGTGCCCCCTCTGGATCCACTCTCTATAGTCCTTTATATTCCTGGTGTTCTCTTACCAAGGAGTTAAGACACATGATTGCCAAGTTTTGCTACGGGTTCAGTTGTCTCATTTGTTAAACAGGGACAACAAAATCAGCCAGTCCTACCTTCCCGGAGGGTGACTATGACAAGGGTCAGTAAGCGACCACAAGACTTCAGGGCCATGTCAGGCTCTAGCGAATGGGGAGTCACTTTAACAAGGCAGCATGCTCCCGCCTTGGCAGTGGAATGAAGTTGAAAAGATCTTGAGCTGCGGACTCAGACAGACTTGGGTGTGGACCCTTGCTCTACCTACTGTGTGAATTGGAATGAGATACTTCATTTCTCTGTGCCTCAGTTTCACCATCTGTAAAATGGAGACAATAATAGTTGTTACTTCAGAGGTTATGGAGCCCAAGTAAGAATGCAGAAAACATGCATCGCACTGTGCCTAGCACACAGCCGAGTGCTTAGTAGCTGGTAGGTGTTACTGTGTTGTTGATAACCGTAATGATGATGACAACTGACATTTAGAGATTGGGATTGGGATTCTTTGGGGGCTAGTGATGGCAACTTGCTCTACCTACTGTGTGAATTGGAATGAGATACTTCATTTCTCTGTGCCTCAGTTTCACCATCTGTAAAATGGAGACAATAATAGTTGTTACTTCAGAGGTTATGGAGCCCAAGTAAGAATGCAGAAAACATGCATCGCACTGTGCCTAGCACACAGCCGAGTGCTTAGTAGCTGGTAGGTGTTACTGTGTTGTTGATAACCGTAATGATGGTGACAATTGACATTTAGAGATTGGGATTCTTTGGGGGCTAGTGATGGCAGTGTTATTGTTATTAATAGTCTCCTATACGCATCACTGATGTGACCTTCAGAGCACTCCTTAGAGGAGGCAGGAAGTTGCCACCATCTCCATTTTACAAATGTGGTTGTGAGTCTTAAGAGAGGAGAAGCGGCTTGTCCACGATTTTAGCTCAGGTCTTTATGCTTCGGGAGCACACTCACTGGCCAGAGATGCTGCGTGGATCAGCCCCTGGGTCAGACAGCTCTGACAGGGAAGTGGCGGATGATTGTGACTCACCCTGACTTTTACTCTATACGTTTTGGAGAGTGAGTGAGTGAGCGAGTGACAAAATAAATGGCAACCTCGGCCCTGACTGGTTTGGCTCAGTGGATAGAGCGTTGGCTTGCAGACTTCTGGCCAAGGGCATGTATCTTGGTTGTGGGCTCAATCCCCAGTAGGGGTCGTGCAG